GTCCAGTTCTCACATGCATAAGAGGTGACTGAAAATACCATGGCTTAGGTTAGGTGCACCTTAGTCCTCAAGGAGACATCTTTGCTCTTCAGCACTTAAAGAGGTCTTTTGCAGCAGATCTGCCCAATGCAATATGTCGTCTGATGTCTTGACTGCTGCTTCTGTTGGAGTTGTTTGTAGAACCAAGTAGTATGAACTCCTTGACAACTTCATTTATCATGAAGCTGTTTATTGGACCAGTTGTAAGGATTTTTGTTTTCTTTCTATTGAGGTGAAATCCATACTGCAGACTGTAGTCTTTAATATTCATCACTTAAGTGGTTCAACTCATCCTCACTTCAGCAAGCAAAATTGTGTCATCTGTGTTTTGCAGATTGTTAATGAGTCTTCCTCCAGTCCTGATGCTGCATTCATCTTCATGTAATCCAGCTTCTTGGATTATTTCCTCAGCTTATAAATTGAATAAATATGGTGAAAGGATGCAACCTTGACGCACTCCCTTCTTGATTTTAAACCATTCAGTGTCCCCGTGTTCTGTTCGAACAACAGCCTCCTGATCTACATACAGGTTCCTCATGAGTACACTCAACTGTTTTGGAATTCCCATTCTTCTCAATGTTATCCATAATTTGTTATGATTCACACAATTAAATGCTTTTGCATAGTCAAAAAAAACATAAGTAAACATCTTTCTGGTATTCTTTGCTTTCAGCTAAGATCAGTCTGACATCAGCAATGATACCCCTGGTTCCATATCCTCTTCTGAATCTAGCTTGCACCTCTGGAAGTTCTCTGTCAATATACTGATGCAACCCTTTTTGAATTATCTTCAGTAAGATTTTACTTGCATGTGATTTTAATGATACTGTTGCATAATTTCCACATTCTGTGGGATCACTTTTCTTTGGAATGGACACAAATATGGATCTCTTCCAGTCAGTTGGCCAGATAGCTGTCTTCCAAATCTCTTGGCATAGCCAAGTGAGTGCCTCCAGCAGGGCATCCATTTGTGGAAACATCTCAATGGGTATTCCGTCAGTTCCTGGAGGCTTGTTCTTCACCAGTTCCTTCAGTGTAGCTTCAACTTCTTCCTTCAATACCATTTGTTCTTGATCATATGCCACCTCTTAAAATGGATGTACATCAGCAATTTCTTTTTGGTACAGTGACTCTGTGTATTCCTTCCATCTTCTTTTG